TACTGAACATGTGAGTTGTTTCCACTTTGGGCTCTTATTAATCCTGATTTGAACAACCATGTACATGTGCCAGAATTTCTCTAGAATATCTTCCAAGATTGGAGATGTTATGTCTTCAACTTCACTGGAAAATGACTTACGATCTTCCAAAGTAAATATATAAGCATAGGCACCAACTTTGTGTGCCACAGAAACTCACTCTAAATTAAGGAGTGGCCTTCAAATCTTCACTGTTAACAATGAAAATCCTATTCAAATAAAAATACACTCAGCTAGATATTATTAGCAAAAGTCTGTCATCCAAATAGCATTTGAGAATTAAATCAGAGGTGGATGCAAAGCAAAGCTAATTCTGGAAGAAAGACCTTAAAAAAACAGTCCCAAAGAGAACCTTCCCTGGTGGCGCAACAGGTTGAAGCACAGCACCATGAAGCTATCACAGCCACTACAGCACAAGTTCGATCCCTGGCCAGGAGGGGGTGACCCATATGGCACAGCAGACCTCTCCTGACCCATCCACTGCTCCCCTCAGCAGTGTATTTCAGTCAATCTGGCTGTTCTGCTCCCCACTCTGTCTCTGGTGAATCCTCTCACCCACAACTCTGACCTGTACCACAGTGCTGTATGTACAAATAAATAGTATTTTAAAAAAAAAGTCTCAGAGTAGGGCCCTTGTCCCAGAAACCAGGTTGAATCACACTTTGCAGTAACAGCAATAGGCTGCCATTACAGCAGCTGCTGCGAGGTGAAAAGGAAAAGTGAACAGCTATAGACGGGAAGGTGGAGAGCAAGTGAAAAGACTATTTAATAACTTAACCTGAGGCCACCAACTTTTAAATGCTTGAGACACTCATACCACTGCCACTGGTTACTCAATAAGTAAACTCGACAGTTATACTCCAGACTTCATTTTCTCGGAAAATTTAAGACAGCAAAGATGGCCAATAAATTTAGCCACTATGTCTAACATTCAAGGGAAAAAAGAAATCAGACCTTATCTCACTGTGCTGACCAGTTAAGCTTCTACCAACAAAAAATTCTTAGATGAATACTAAGTCTAGGCACCATGGTTACATATGAAGCAGAGCTAAAATCTGTGGTAAAGTTGGGATAAGATGCTGAGAGCAAGTCGAGCATGATGACATTTTACTATTCTCACAATTCCTACCCAAAAAAGTTAAGCGAAAACATGATAGAATAGGATTTGAATCCAGATCTGTTCAACTTAAAGGCCTTTGTTCCTGACACTAAACCACATAGGCAGAGGAAGGGTTAACGTCAAAAGCCAAATTTAAATGTCCAATAGTAAACACCTAAAAGTGGCACTGTCATTTCTAAAGTTGATTACTCTGGCAGTTAGTTCATTACCTGCTAAAAGAAAATAGAAAATGGAATCCAAAAAGGTTCATACACTCTTTAGAAGCCTGAAACGCAGCCGTGTATTATACCACCTCACTCCATCCCCTGGCATGGCAGTGAAAGTTGCAGTGATACAAGATAGAGACCCAGTGTGCAGCAAAGGCCATTAGCCAAGCACTCCACATGGTACACTCACAGCTTGCTAAGAGGCTATGTTAAGTGGACTTACCAGAAGGAAAGACGTAATAATTAGGAGGGTAAGAAGCAACTTTAGGGATGAAGAGTATTCCTGTGACCTTGACAGTAGTGGTGGTTTCGAAGGTGTATACCTCTCTCCAAACTCACCTCCCTGTACACAATAGGTACGTACAGCTTTTCACAGGTCAACCATGCCTTAACATGATAGCTTAAATATACTAGTTATGAAAGAATGTAATAGTGATCAAATTTAACACACATCAGGAAACTCTAAAATATGAATTTTAATAAAATATAGAGAACATCTTTGTGACCCTGAGGGAAGGATTGAGTTCTCAAATAGGGCATAAGACAGAACAGATGAAAGAGTTACATAAGTCAGTAAAAAATAAATGAGCTGGGGGGGGGGGGCTGTGGAGGGGGTAGCTATGTGCAGACAGTTCACAGAAAAGCAAGCAAAGCAGCAAACAAGATGTTCAACCTCAACACACAACTATGGAAATGCAACTTAGACCTCCAATGCACAGAGCCTTCCCCTGGCCCAGGGCCAGTCACTCAGGTTTTCACATTAGAGTATGTCGTTACTACCCCCCACCCAAACCTCACCTTGGACTCTACAGTCACCACTTCTTTCAACTCCACCCAGGTCAGCGGTCCTACCAAAGGGCTACCCAGGAGCCCCACGACTCTCTTCGGTCCATCACTTCTCCCAAGACTGGTCTTACCTCCCTGTCCAATGTGAATTCAGTGGTAATGGTGCTATGCCCTTTCCTATCTTTCTTTTAATTGATTCATTTGGCTAAACTGCACTCACGATTAGATCTATTCTCCATCCCTTGATATCTACATCTGTGCAGGAGAAATTGAATGAGGAAAACACACCTGCTCTCCCCTAACATTCATGAACACTAACCAGGGTGGGCCTCTGCTACCACCCAGCAACCCATCATATTTTCCTATATTTTTTCACACTCCCACCCCGTCAACAACTATTTCCTGCCTCCTACTCTTTCCGCAGTCCCTCATCATCTCATGTACTCTCAGAATTGTAATAATGCCTACAAGTGGACATCACCCAATGTCCATCTCCAGGCCCAACCTGGATCCTGAAGCCCAGGAGCCTTGATCCTACTGTGGGCTTGACATTTCCTACTAGATACCGGGCTGGATGGGTGTGCCACGTGGCACTCCAGGACACCTCCGCCCTTGTCTCTGTTCTGTCTGAAGTAATCTAAATGAATTAGAGCACTAGGCTTCCCTCCTCTTCTGCTTTCCAGCAGATATGAGAAGCCCTGGCAAGAGAATAGAGAAGAATTTAAGACCAGAATGATTACTCTCTTGTTTTTCTCTTTGATCTCTTGGCCAAGAGGCCAATCGTCCTCTCAAGGTCAACTTCTCTATGTGACTCTCTCCATCAGAGGCCCAGTAACTAGGAGTAGGAACAGCCCTATGTTACCTGCCACCCAATTACTTTGCCATCTCTCTGCTTTCCTGTATCCTACTGATACCTTGGTCAATTACTCCTCTGTTAAAACATTCTTCTAATTCTTGAACATGCCATCTATTTCCTACAGGAGCACCAATGCAGGTAGCAATCTCAATTTTAATACATGGAATACTGAGCACCCCCTATAATTTTACCCATATCAGTTATAGCAACCCTATTCGAACTGTTCAAAACAAAAGTCAGATGACAGCTTTATACGCCTTTATCTCATACCCTACACATGTCTCCCTTTAACCCCCACAAACAGAGCAGAACCCAGCCATGCTTTGCAAACCTCACTGCTACTGCCCTGGCCACTCCCACCAGCACTGTGACTGAACTACTGCAACAGACTCCTACCTGGTCTTCCTACAGCTTCCTCCCTGCTTGTCATCAGTTCAGTCACAAAACTGCCCGTGGGAGCCTGTCAAACGTGAACAGTGCAGGTTTCCCATGATGGCCAAACACATTACATTCCTCTTTGGTATGATGCATTAGGCTGTTTTTTGGACTCTGGGAAATACCATTACCACTAAATCATATGGAAACATTTTCAGCATCCCCAGCCCAAAAAATAGCCTACCAAATCATGCCAAATGGGAATATTCTGCTTTCAGAGAGTGAAGGAAACGTATATTCACTGGTAGCTTCTAAAGCCCTTGGTGGCTGCTTCTCCCAATAAGAAGCCACCATCTCTACTGTTCCGTAAGTCTCCCCATGATCTGACCCCAGAATGCCTCTTTTCCTCTGCTTGCTTATTTTGCACCAGCAGGCCAGTCTCCCTCGCTAGTACCCTCCTCAAAGCCTCAAAGTGTTCCCTCTGCCTGGAACACTCCTCCTGAAGATCTCAGTGCCTGCATCTCCCTTACTCAGGTCTCTACTGAAATAGCAACTTCTCATAAGACCTTCAATGGCCACTCTCTCTAAAGTTGTACCAGCACCTCTCCCATTGTATTTCCAACCTAAGCGATTATCGCCACCTACCCGTTTGCCCCGGCCCTCTAGAATGTCAGCTCCACGACACAGGTGTTCTTGTCTGCTCTGCCCACTACCACATGTTCAGTGCCTTAAGCCCTACCAGTGAGCAGGGGGCTCTCAAATGTCGGATCAACAAACCACAACTAGGTTCTGTGCAGTAGATCAGCCACAACTGAACAAGCCGAGTCTGATGCAGACATTTCAAACACTGGCAGATGAGAATAAAAGAAAGGGAGAACAGGATCACTAAGTTGGGAAAAGAGGGAATTCAAAACCAACTCCCGCAGATTTCATCTTATTTCTCTGCTTCTCACATCTTTATCCTTGAAGTGTTCTTTTTTAAGCTGACACTGTGAAAAGCCTCTCCAGCAGTCACAGCAAGGGGATCAACCTGAAACAGTTGGTCCTAGAATAAGTGGTTGTTTGGCCTTGTCGATAGAGAAGGCCACCCAAAAGCAAAAGGGGAAAGTTTTGGTGTTGAGCTACATTAAAAACTCTAAACTGCACTTACATGTTAATCTGCTTATTTCTGGACATAAAGGGAAAAAAAACAAACTAAAACGTCATAAAGCGCCATATAAATATTTAAGTACTGATCCCTCTGAAATTAAAAAAAAAACAACAACACTTGTTCTTCAGTTATCCAATTTAAAGGGGGCATAATTCAGCCTTTCTCAATTCTATAAAGCCTTTTTTAAGCATTGCAACCAAGAATTATTTTAGTCATCCTATTATCACTATGTGAGGACATGGACTTTTACTTAAAGAAAATGCCCTTTTCTCCTTGCATATTATTAGACATGTTGTCCTTTTCTTTGGATTTTAATTTCAAGCACAAAGGATCAACTGCAAGTTAGTAAAGTACACTTTATAAAAAAATACAAATTAAAACTCTGTGTGTGTGTGTGTGCGTGTATAAAAACACAGAACATCTACACTTTCACAGCACTAAGCAGCACACATGCAGCTGATTTCCTACCTGCAGAGCTGAGAAGGACACTGAAATCTGTGCCCCTCTGTGATTCTCCACCTTCACGATCCACTTCTTTTTCAATATCTTGGTATCGATCCCAGTTAGAGGCTACTTTTCTTTTAGAATACTTTCCCTGGTCCTCGTTCTCTTCTCCATAGTTCTCTGCATCACTGTCCTCTTCAACCTGCAATCATTAAAGCACAAATCAATAAGCAGGTAGTGGAAATGCTAAGTTTAGTAGCCTTAGAGGGAAAACAAAACAAAAATATAGTACACAAAGGTATCATGATAAAGAGCAAACTTACACACCACGCTCTCTGAGGATGTTGAGTAATACTGCCATGACAAAATTCCATTATACCAGAGTACATTTTCAGAGTAAACTTCTCATTTAACGTTAAAAAGGAAATCTGGCGAGTTCTTGCCTACAAAGTTGTGTGACTGGTAGACCTAAAGTCCACCCCAGGGCATCCTATTCCAACAGTTGTCTCATCTAGTTGACAAAAGCAAAGCTATAGAATCTTAAACTCAAAGGACTTTTAACGGAAGTCAAGTCTTTACATTTACAGGTTTTACAAACACATTCCAAGACCAAGACATATTTTATAAGCTTTAAATGAGGACCCTGCTCACCTGCCTTCTAGAGAAGTTTCTAGTACTAGGCATTGAAAGGCTTAGAAAGACTACAGAAAAATGCAGAATGTGAGAAGTTATTAAAGCAAAGGACCTAGATTCTTGGAATAAACTGTGTGGGAGGAAAATGGTGGGTAAAGGAGGAGAAACCCACAGGCTAAAAAAGCATATTGGACACATGACCTGTTGTGGTGACAGAAACTTACTTGACTGATTCATGTACCTAGAAAAATTATCTTTTTTTTTCAAGATTTATTTATTTATGCACATAGGACAAGAGTACAGGCCAGGGGTGCAGAGGGTGAGACAGAGTAGGGAGCAGAACAGGCAGATTGACTGAAATACACTGCTGAGGGGAGCAGCGGGTGAGACAGGAGATGTCTGCTGTGCCATGTGGGTCACCTCCCTGGCTGGGGATTGAACTCATGTGGCAGTGGCTGCACTTTACCCCATTGTGCCACCAGGGAGGGCCTGAGAAATTATCTTATGAGAATGGAAAAGTATGACCAAGGACTGGGTATTGGGTATATTATACAGTCCTCACTGTCACTGTAATGTCCTCATTAGCATTACTAAAGAAATTCTACTGTTTAAGTATTTGCTGCTGGGTGTAGCATCAGCATTCTGATTTAATGTTGCATCTTTTAGAATGAGTATGAAACTATGTGTGGATGAAAAGACATAGTTGTGGAATCTGCTTCAAAATAATGGAGGTAGGAAAATGAATACTGGAGAGAGATTAAATAAACTGGGCACAACGATGACTGTGGAAGCTAGATGATGGGACAGGGAAATTCACTATATTTTCTATCTACTGTTGAAACTGTTGGATATTTTCCACAATAAAATAATTAAATTTTTGAAATGAAAGACTACAGAATCTGAAGACACAGTTCAAAAAGGATCCCACGAATTACATCATTCTTGTGAAAAAAATCTTGTGTTGTTTCAATATATTTTACTTCTACAGGATAGTCCAGATTTTTTTAAAAAACAAGTTTTCATTCACAAAGGGACAGGTCATGGTGCACTGCAGGAAATTAGAAGACAAAAGTGGGTCACTGCCCTCCCCTAGAGAGCACTCCACTGACACCTTCAAGCATGCACTTCCAGGTCTTTTTCTCTGACACTTTTACAGATTTTTTTTTTTTTCATAGTAACCAGAGTTTTGTTTTTGTGTTTTTTTTTAAATCAATATTTTCTACCTCTCCATTTTAGTAAATTGTTGATTTCCCAATTTCCCTAACCAACCCCCAAAATTCCCTTCTGAAGTGGTGTGCCCAAGACAGTATCCAATTCAAGGCAATATTCTGTATGTCACCGTTTATCCCTTAGTCTCTGTGATTCTAGAATAATCTATTTTTACAACCCTGATTTTGGAAGAGACCAGTACAGTTTAAGTACAATACCCAACTTCTAAGCTGCTGTGTCCTTGAGGTCTCTGTTTATAGATTAGTTGACAGGAAATATCAGATTAAAATATCTAAATACAGTCCTCCCTGGTGGCGCAGTGGGTAAAGCACAGCACTAAGAAGCTAAAGCCACTTCAGCAGGAGTTAGATCCACGCCCCAGAGCTGACCCACATGGCGCAGCAGACCTCTCCTGACCCATCCTGCTCCCCTCAGCAGTATATTTCATCAGTCTCCCTGTTCTGCTCCCCACTCTGTCTCTGGTGAATCCTCTCACTGCTCCAGCACCTCTGGCCTATACCCCAGTTCTATAGGCATAAATAAATAAATCTTTTATATGTGTGTGTATACATATATGTGTGTACATGCATGGTACTTCCAGACAGCAGGAATGTTACTATTTATTATCCTTTCTTTCCAGTTATTTTTTTCAAGTGCTCATTGGCCATGTACTTACTCTGGAGTCATGCTGGTGGGGAAATTTGGCAGCACTGCAAACAATGAGAACAGTGTAATATTCAACTTTACATGCGATTTAAATGGCCTTCAAAGTAAGCTGTCAGCACCCACTGCAGCACAAGTTTGATCACAGGCCAGGGAGTTGGCCCACATGATGCAGCAGACCTCTCCTGTCTCGCCCACTGCTCCCTCCAGCAATGTATTTCAATCTACCTGTTCTGCTCCCCACTCTTGTCTCTGGTGAATCCTCATCCCCTGCATCTGTGGCCTATATCCTGGCTCTTGTATGCATAAATAACTCTTTTTAAAAATAATTAAATGACCTTCAAAGTAAAGTTTGACAATAGGTGATTTTAGCTTTAACTGATAAATGAAATATTGACCCACTACAAATTTCCAGTTCCTCAACAATCTAACAAACTGGACAACAGTGACAAATCCTTATGTTAGAGGGCAGGGAGAGGGACGCCCTTGAACCCCCAAACCTGCCTGCTCTAAATAGGTTCTGCCATCCACCACATCAAGACAAAACATACAAGACTATTAATGGAAAGGAACTTTAATACAATCAGTGTGCAATTCAGCAAACACAGAATATAGTTTCAAACCAACCACCCAAAATTACCCATTCCCTTGTGGGTAAGTCTACCCAGGAGAAATTGGCCCAAAATAAGACCTGAAAGCCCGCCACAGCCTAAAGCACCTTCTGGCAGGGACCCAGGAAAAGGGTCAGAAATGGTCAGGCAAGTCTGGTCAGGCAAAATCAAAATCAATATAAACACTGCCAGAGTTAACCTCCTCTACATGGGTTTCTCGCCCGTATCTATTTCAAGAAACAAGAGCCGCTTCTTCACATGTCTCTGTTCCCTGTGCCTCCCTCAGCTCTCCTTCTGGCTCCATCCTGCTCCCTTCCTCTTCAGTCCCTTCTCCAGATTCTTCTCCTCCCTGCTCAGCTCCCCACTCCTTCTGGGTGGGTTAGGGAACCTGGAACCTCCCCTGGGAACCACCCTGTTACACTTACTGAAGCAAATTTTATAAACTGGCATAAAAGAATGGAGCAACAGACCTTTCAAGGTCATGTTCAGTCTTCAAATATATCATAAGCCTCCTTGACAGCATAAAAAAAAGATGGCAATCTCCATATAATTTAGGGACTGCAAAGACTGCTTGACACCCAGGTTTCCTGCTATTCTTCCAATTATCTCAGAACTGAAAGAGGACAGCAGATTAAAAATATGTGACTGAGGGCCCTCCCTGGTGGCACAGTGGGTTAAACACAGCACTAAGAAGCTAAAGCCACTTCAGCATGAGTTCGATCCCCGCCTGCCCAGGAGGAGATGCACATGGCTTGGCAGACCTCTCCTGACCCGCCCGCTGCTCCCCTCAGCAGTGTATTTTGTCTCTCCATCTGCCTGTTCTGCTCCCCATTCTGTCTCTGGTGAATTCTCTCACCTCCCCTGCACCTCTGGCCTGTACCCCAGTTCTGTATGAATAAATAAATAAATCTTTAAAACAAAAAAAAGTATATGGCTGAAAGGGAACTACCATATGCATAACAAATACTGGGAACATTCTAAAGAAAACAGCTTTGTAACTTATAAAAAATTGGGAGCTAGGCCTAAAGATGAAACTACCAACAGGGTTTAATCTAGGAAAACACAATATTCTTTTGTTGGCCCACTGGGTAAATAGAGTTCAGAGAGGTGTCTCCAGTTAGTACAAAACTTCTGAACACAGCTATAACACGGAACAAAAATGTAAGCCTGAGCATAATAATTTGTTTGATGCAAAAGAGAATTATACCTGAGGAACTATTAATACAAAGAAACAAGCTCTGAAGTGGGAAGCAGGAGATCTAGACAGAATTAATGGCCCTGCCATAACCATCATTTAGTATTTACAAAGTGTCTACAATAGGCTGGGCCTCACAGAGCTGACTTACTCACTAATCCCCAATTTAGAAAAATCACCAAACAAGGATCATATTACACCCCACCCAACTGCAGAGAGAAGGGAAGTCACCATTAGCCTCCATCACAAGAGGGTAGTAAAAAGTAATAAAGTTTAGAAAACATTCGGTGGAACTTAGAAAAAGGTGTATCTTAGAAACTCCTAAAAGATTTTATGTTTGGTTCATACTGTAAAGTACTGAGACAAAATAAAATATGCAATGTTCCAAGATGGAGCAAAAGAACAGAATAAGAAAGCACTGATGAAAGCAATGTGAAAACAAATAAAGGCATCATTGTTATGTAAACATTATTACAAAATAAGTCTGGAATACACTGGAAACTATAAAACACCGGTGAAAGAAATTGAAGACAAAATAGAAAGATAGTCCATATTCCACGATTTGAAGAATTAATATCATTAAAACATCTATATTGCCCAAAACAATCTACAGAGTCAATGCAATCCCTGCCAAAATTACAATTTGTGTTTTTTTTTTTCCTGCTTCTAAAAAAACTCTACAGAGGACCTCCCCTGTCTCACCTGCTGCTCCCCTCAGCAGTGCATTCTGTCAATCTGCTTGTTCTTCTCCCTGCTCTGTGTCTGGTGAATCCTCTCATGACCCTCCCCCCAACCCCCTCACAGCAATGGCCTGTACCCCAGCTCTTGTTATGCATAAATAAATCTTTAAAAAAAAAAACTCTACTGAGGAATAATCGATGCATAAGACAT